GTTCGTGGTAAAAAACAAGAGTAAAAGGCTAACAAACGTTTGAAGCACTAGGGTACTGGAAGCGACGAAGGGTAATTAATGTGGCGTGTGCAGTAAGGCGGCAGAACTGACATGACAAGTGACATAAAGTGGAAAAAACCCTAAAACCCCAGCAACCCTAAACCCTAAGTTCTGATGGGCCTCCAAAAGGTGGGAATCATGTTGAAAGAATATAAATACAAACTTTTATATTCTTCCAAGGGGGCATTCTGTTAATGGGAAATCGATAAAGGGATCGAAAAAATGAAGGCAAGAAAAAATCGAAGACCACACGAAGATAAAAGTACATCAAGAATCAAAATCGAGAATCGAAGAAACAAATTTTGATGCCTATTGTTGAAGTTAGAATAGTACAAAATTAAAGGGAATCAAAAGCAGAATTTAAGATACTCGATGTCTGAAATCAAGATCGAGGGAGTAGTTAACACACACAGGGAACGTGGGAAACAGTTTCTAAACCGCAACAGAGATCGAAGGAAGAGTAGTTCTCTTATACGTAAGAACGTGGAGTGCAGTTTCTAAAACTGTAAAACTAAAGGAAAGGGCACGTAGGATCGTGGGAATAGTGGTATTAACCACTCTTGGGAGGTTACTTCAAAGATGCTCTATAAATAAAGCAAAGACTGAAAAGGTGGGGGAAATTGGCAGAGAGAGCAGGAATACTAGTGAGAAGTCTACCGGAGAACGACGAACATCATGAAGTTTCTGGCGATCTGGATTTCCATGTTCATTGATTTTCTTTACCGTTTTCTTTATTTTCCCTGGTAATTTGCTTTGATGCAGTTTATGTTTAACAACTTTAAGTTTCTGTATTTTCGATTCCTTGTCATTTCTCTTTAATGAAAGTTAAGTTTCTGCGTTTAAATTCATTGTCATTTACATTAACGTAATTTCGATTTCCTGCCATTTACATTTCTGTAATCTCGATTTCCTGCTATTTACATTTCTGTAATCTCGATTTCCTGTTATTTATATTTCCGCAATTTTGATGCTTTGTCGTTTACACTTAATGCAAATTTGAGGTTTCCGCATTTTTCATTCCTTCGCAGTTTTACATTCGGTATTGCTTTTCGATTTATCACTTTACTATTTTCCTTATTTCGAGTACTTCAAATATAAAATACCAAAAATAGTGCTTTCGATTATTTAATCTTAGTATTTTCTATACAGTGGTATTTTCGATTCTCATACGCATTTCGATTGAAATTCAGTTGCTAGCCTAAGTATAAAGAATCTACGTGGTTGAGTTTTGGTTAGAATCAAAGCCTCTTAAGAATCGAAATTAATCAAAATTCCACCAGAAACAATATTACACCTTATAATTTTTGGAAATAAGTTATTATTAATAATGGATAACAATTTTAGCAATAAAAAATAATTATTTATTATTATTTATATAAAAAAATTGAAGATAATAATAAAAATTGAAAAATTAATTTTAATAATTTTATAAAAAATAAATTATTTGATATAATTATTAAAAAAGTTAAATATCTTAATGAAATAAGAAGACCTTTAATATTTTTTAATTTTAAGAAATAAACGAAAATAATAGTTTATTTTAATAAAAATAATTTTCAAATAAATTTTTTAATTTCTAAAAACTAAAAAAAAACTTTTAAAGATTGTAAACAAATAACTGTTAAATGAATATCTATTGAATTGTTTATTTCTTATGGAAATTGAGCTCAATACTACCTATCCATCACTCCAGTTACAAAAATTAGAGATTCTACCAACTAAGAACTTTTTATTTCTATTCAATTAGAAGTTCAAATTTCGTTTTCACGGACAATTTTTTTTTTCAATACGATTGATAGCTTTCATAAAATTCCTTTTCTTTCATCCATGATCCGAATAAAATATAACAGTGGTTTAATATCTGAGTTTCTTTATCAAGATTAAACATATGTATTTTTAATATATTATTTTATATTCCAGTTCGTTAATTTTAACTGGTTATTAAATAATTTACTTTTTAATATATCAGTAATTTTAAAATCAAATTTAATTCATCCACAGTATATTTTATAGTGGAATGAAGATTAAACTTGTTGTTTCACATATAAATAATTAGGTTAATCAGCTAATAATCTATGGTGATGTAGCATGCTTGTCAAATGTGACAGAATTACACAATTCACGGAAGGCTACTATTTTATGAAGCAATTAGACTTTACTAATGTCTTTGAGAAAGGTCTTTAGTGGGTAATGTTTGACAAACATACCCCTTAAATCTTGATCTTTCTCTTTTTTTTTTTTTTTTTCTTTTTTTTTTCTCATGGTCTCTTTCTTTTGTATTTCATACGAATTCAAAATTATAAAACCATCATTTTTTTTCATAATTTATATTTAATAATGAACCATGCACAATAAAATATTAAACAAAATTAATGAAACTTGTAAACGACGAAACCTTACTTTAAATACTAAATTATATAATTTCAGAGGAAAAAGGTAATGAAAATTTAAAGTTCAGTGTTAAAATTTGAAAAATAACAAAATGAGGAATAAAATAGAGTAAATAAAGTTTCATAATCCTAAATTTGATGGTACAGGAATTGATAAATTATTGATAAGATAAAAAAAATATATAAGAAAGAGCACTAATAAAAAGATATTCTCACTTTCATAATATTCATATATATTTTTTTTAATTCAACTGTCATAAATATAAAATTATAATTTTTTTAAAATTCTATTTTGTTCGTAATTGAATAAAAAGAAAAGAAAACAAAAAATTATAAGAAAAACTAATTTAGTTTAAATAAATAAAATAAGCAAACTAAACTTATGATTTTTAAATCCCAACTTCAACTAAAAAAATAGTTTGTTTTTATTTCAACTCTCTAAATTTGCAATATAATCAACTCAATCTCCTTAATTTTTTAGGTCTTGGTTCTCTAAAAAAACCTATCCTCAATTACTTTTTTAACCTTCTTCATGTTCAATTAAGTTTTCAATTAGATTTAGATATTTTTTCTTATTATTTTAAACTTTTATTTACGTAATATCTTTTAAAAATAAAAACTCTATATATTTTTATAATATTTTTTTATGATAATTTTACTCTGTATACTTTTATAAAAAAATTATAATAATCTTACATTTTTATGTTGGCATTAATATATTATCATGCTTTAAGAAAAAAGAAAAACTATATCTATTTTATAATATTTTTTATCGGATATAATTTCAAATTATTTAAATGGAAGAATTTTGTTCCTTCTCCAGTTATTTCTTTTGTTAAATTTATCCAAACACATTAAAAATCATAATAAATTATCTTTTTATTAATTTTTTTCTAAATGAGTACATGTACATGAAGTTTGTGTGAAGGATTAACACATATCCCTACAAAATTCTATCAACTTTTGTCTTTTAATTCAACAAAAAGTTGATTGATGAGGTTCACAGTAAAAGCTGAACAGCCAGAAAGGCGCCAACGCAAATCAATAGACACAATTTTTTTTATAGGTTAAAAAAATAAAATAGGCCCACGTGACACATGCAAATATGAGTTGGCATGGACCATATATAAATATAGAATTTGATCTTTCGGCTCCACATTTTATACTTAAAAAATAACTAAATATAATTATTATTATTATTATTATTATTATTATTATTATTATTATTATTATGATGGACGATTAATTTTATTATATATGTTAATTAAAATCCACTTCAATTAAATTACTGTTTCTTTAAATTATTAATTATTATTATTATTATTAAGGAATATGATATATATTTATAAAATAATTTATATCGTAAAAATTATTTTTTATAAATATTTAAGTTTAGATTAATAAAAATAATATTACTTAAAAATATGAAATATATTAAAAATATTTATTTAATTTTTATATTTATCGTACTCTAATAAAATAAAATAATTAAATATTAGTATATATACAAATTAAAGTTATATATATAAATAATTATTTACGTAAGAAAATAATTTTATAAAATAATTTTTTTCTCTTACCTTTATTATTTATCAAATATGAATAAAAACTAAAACACACGAATTATAATTAAAAATGATATATTTTTTTATTAAATAATTATTTTTTAAACTTATTTATCCAGTTTTTTTTTTACTTTTCATTTTCTGTAAATAAGTATATCTAAAATTTTAAAAGTATTTTTTACAAAATATATATATATATATATATATATATATATATATATATATATATTTGATGAAATAATGTATTTAAATTTAATTTCTTAAATACCTATATATACATATTTAATTTTTATGAAAAAATAATTATTAACACAATTATTTCAAATACTTTATCTTAATTGAATTTTTTGGATCAATAACTTATGATTAAGGATTAGTTTGTTTTATTTAAAGATGTAGTTACAATTAACTTAGAATTTGTCTAATTTGACCTTTATTATTAGATAATTGATAATTAATGTACTCTATTTTTTATATTATATTATATAAAATATATTTATACTAAAATTTATGATTAATTAATCTTTAAATTATAAGCATCTAATCCTAATTTGTTTCACTGTAGAATCTATTTTAAAAGAATGATTTTATTCAAAAATAACTTTTAGAAAAGAGTGATCAATTGAGAAGAGAAAGATTTTTATAGCAAATGAAATGAATATTACCACGTTCTGTTTACAGGGTGAGTTAGATAATTACGTGTAGCCAGCACGACGTTTGGATTGCCGTTAATCCTTTCTCTGAATCGCCGGCCACAAAAATAAACCACCAAAAGCAACAATAATAAATAATAATTTGTAAATGGTTTCAGAAAGGCGAAAAAACATTTGAATATTCGCGAGAAAACGATAACGAAACAATAATAATAGGTTATATACATTAAATTGGATTCTGTTACTCTTTCTTTCTTTCTTTATCCACAGAAGAAGATCGAACCAGGCCTCCTTTCGTTTTGTGTAGAACCAGCCATTCATCCAGCGATTCCATGGTGGGGAGAGGCGTGCCGGCGATAACGACGGTGGCCGTGGCCGCCCTTGACTTAACGGAATCCTCCAACTGGTGGCGGGACATCAACAACTCTCCGCTCTGGCAGGATCGCATCTTCCACCTCCTCGCCATCCTCTACGGAATCGTCGCCGCCGTCGCTTTGGTATTCCTCTTACGGCGACGTTTGCTTGTCTCTCTAGGCCAGATTTCAATCTCGAGTTCCGTTAGGGTTTTTCTGTGCTTGCTTTATTATTTGTTGATTGTTTTGATTGTAATTTTACGAGTTTAGGTTCAATTAGTGCGAATACAATTGAGAGTGCCGGAATACGGATGGACCACGCAGAAGGTCTTTCACTTTCTCAATTTCTTGGTCAATGGGGGTTTGTATCATATTAATCTTCCTTTTTAAAAAAAATAATAATAATTTGGATGTATTTGCATTTGTTTGATGATTGACAATTTTGTGGCGCAAAGTTAATGCTCTTTTTGGTTTTGCAGTTCGGTGTTTTGTTTTCGTCTTCCGTAGGGATGTGCAGAAGTTACAGCCAGAGGTAGAGATGATTTGTTTTGAGTTTAATTTTCCTTTTTTTTTTTTCCCAATTCCATCATAAATTAAGTTTTGTATTCTCATAGCTAATGCTCAGCCTCGTGTGTGTAGATTGTCCAACATATCTTACTTGACATGCCTAGTCTTGCTTTCTTCACAACTTATGCTCTGTTGGTACTGTTCTGGGCTGAAATTTATTACCAGGCAAGTTCAACTTGTGGTTCATGTGTTGCTTTTGTTTTTTTAATCAGCATGGGACATTGCTGTTTCGTTGGGCTGATTACGTGACTTTGATGTTACATGTTTTGCAGGCACGTGCTGTATCTACTGATGGTCTCAGACCAAGCTTCTATACTATTAATGCTGTGGTTTATGTTATTCAGGTGAAAATTCTTGCCCACGATTGCACTTGTTACTGTTCCCACTCAGCGCAGTAGGTTGGACTTCTTTTTGAGACCATGATGTTGATTGCTGTTTGTTTCCATTTTCATTTTTCATTTATTGACTTGTGTAGAAACTATACAATTAATAATGTGGTAATCAATACGATAGAGAAGATATAAAGGTACAGATAGGGCTGTATAAGATGGGTTTGCCCTCTTCACCTAATGCTTTGAAGAAATAGTCGTTCGCAAAACTCTTCTAGCTGTGCCCATTTCTTATTGGAGCTAAATCCACAGTAGTTGTTTCTTTGTTAGATCTGTTGCAAGTTGAACCCATCATCAGTTCCAAGTTTTTCCCCAGAAGAGAACGGTTTGATGCCCAGTCATGTGTCCTAATCTCATTATCAGATGTATCTGTGATTAGTTAGAAATGGTGGGCTGTCCTGGAGGTCATAGAAACTCTTACTGTTTTTAATAGTAATGGATCAAGAAATCATTGCTTCTGATTCAATCTAGAAGGTTGCCACTGGAACGAAATTCTCTATACGAGATTAACTGTAAATGCTCGAGTATGATGACAAGGCTGCTGCACATGACTCTTTGGGTTTTGGCTTAAGATTGGCTTTGGCCTATGTGTTCAACCAGCAGTGGCCACTTCTTGGTGTTTTTCCCTGAGTTAAATTTCTAATCTCTACAGAGTTCCTAAAAACAAGCCATGTCACCTGAACTGACCCATTTTGACAACATAGTGCAGTGCAAACTATTAAAAAAGATATCCCCTGCCCCCTCAAAAACAAATGGCAGGGGGGGGTCTACCTAATCAGTGAAACCATCTAGACAGCTCAGTTTCTTGGTGGTGGATTCTTTCTTACAATTTTTTTTTTTTTTGCTTTTTTGTCACGTAAGTGCCTAATATTAACTAGCATACAGCATAACAAAATATGCATAACAAGATAACAAATTATTTTGTATGGATTAAGAAATTTTGTAAGCTTTTCTTTCACTTCATTTTTGTCCTCGTATTGATGTTTTCAATTTTGAGTCAACTTACCTTCATTATTTTTTCAACTTTTCTGTGGCATCAGTTCTTCTGTTCTATAATATCTATCTGGAGTTTAATGTTGACCGGTTTTGAATTTGTAGATATCTGGAGTATGCCTTAGTCTTAGTTAGAACTTACAGGTGTCCTTGTCAGACACACATTTCTGTTATGATTCTGTTGAAACATATTGACAGATTTAATCAACTATAGTGGTCTATAAATAGGAATCTTCTATATATAACAGATTATCTGTCCAGATATCAATAATAATTATTCAAATTTCTCTCAATCTCTGTCATGTCATTCTAACCGTATACTCTTTTGTATGTCTTCAGATTACTTTATGGTTGATATTATGGTGGAAACCTATCAGAGTGCTTGTCATCCTGTCTAAGATGTTCTTTGCAGGTTTAACTATCAGATTTTGAGGGGTTAACTATCAGATTTTACTTATCATGACTTTAATCATGTTTTCATATGCATATATGCAGGGGTATCTTTGTTTGCAGCCCTTGGCTTTCTTCTCTATGGTGGAAGGTGATTGTCTATTTCAATTTTCAACTGCATCCGTTGTAATTTGTTTGGATTATGTAATGAAATTAATTCGTCTTGGTTTAAGAATTATACATAGTTTGGAATTCTGCCTTGTCTGAACTTAGAAGAGAAAAACTAAAGAAATCAACTTATATTACCTAGATATAACCAATGGATTTCCTGAAATATATACCACCTTTCTAAACTGATGAAATTAGTCGGTGCAAAAACATGGGTGCCTTACACAAATGTTTTTTCTTTAGATTTTGTCTGTATCTAGACCCCCATCCTTGAAACTTGTATGGTATAAATTACCATATACAAGTTGAAGAGTAAGACCCTTACTCTCAGTTAGACATTTTCCATATTCTCTCTCTGCCCTCTTTCTCACAATACTCATGCAATTAGCCAATAAAATGTCTCTCCTAACCATCATCTCAAACTTCCATATATTTATTTTTATTTGTATGTTTATTTTTTTAACCATCTATCTTTCAATCTACACTCTTTTATTTCTATCTGTAAATTGAATTTCAATAATTTTATTTTTATAATTTGTCAGTAAAAGAATTTTTTTTTTTCTATTTAAGTTGTTCATTGTAAATCTAAACTTTAATTGGATTTTAATTATGATATAGTTTATACATTAGAAATAATATTTTATTATGATTTTTAATTATATAAAAGTAAATATTTATCTGTTGTAATACGTAGGCTAAAATGCTGGTTTTGATTTATGATTGTTAACCAAGATCTCCAGTATACAGAAAAAAAGTTAACATTTGCCCTATGACAGTCTTATGATTCTTTTGTGATATGATGTGATGCTAAGAAGATCTAATGTCAGCAAATTAGCCCCAAAGAAGAGGCCTAGGAATGTAATTCTGTGCAAGTTTAAAGAACCCATGAAAACAAGTGCTTTCTGCTTTGAAGCACCAAAGAACTGCATGAATCACACTAACACAGACTATCTAAGGAGGTTTTCCCTTAACAACAGCTGGGACGTTTTCCCTTAACAACAGCTCCGACGTACTTTCTCATGAAAAACCCCAAAATGATTGTTCAGTAAGAAAGTAGCTAATTTAAATTGCCGACATAAGTGGGTCAAAGTTCGTACATAACATGGTTTGGCTAGCAGGTAATGTGAGAAATAATTAGTCGAGAATATCAAGTACTCCACTCTAAATAAAAGACTCCTGAATGGTTCTAGGGTGAAGCTTTGATTGCCTGGGTAACTCAGAAAATAAATGGGAATTTACGTAAAACACCAACACACCAGAAAAGTCTAGGGTCCATACTGTGCAATCAGTTTGCAGTCATTTGTCAACTAAGCCACTTTTTATTAATTTTTTTTTTCTTGCTTCATGTGTATGTGTCTTTGGTATTAGTATCTTTTCATTTGCTTCTCCATCTTTTGTGTTTATGTTTTGACTGTGTTCTATGACAGACTATTCTTGATGCTGCAACGCTTTCCTGTTGAATCCAAAGGTCGACGTAAGAAGCTGCAAGAGGTTTGTATTCCTTTGTAAGAGGAAATTTTTTTTATATTTATCTGGTCTTCCCTCTCACATCTCCCCTTCGTTTACCCAGCCTTCCTTTACCCAGAGTTAATCTACCTGATCGTTCTAATGCAGGTTGGCTATGTGACTACCATATGCTTTTCATGTTTCCTTATCAGATGTGTTATGGTTAGCCCCTTTACCTGTAAAGACTAATGTGATTACTGTTGCATGGTAATTAGTTTGATCATAATTTGTTTCCAGATGTGCTTTAATGCATTTGATAGAGCTGCTGACCTTGATGTCTTGGACCATCCCATTCTGAATTTTATATATTATCTGGTGAGTTTGTTTGTTTGTATTTCTTCATTTTGGAGCATTGTTTTTCCCATACTCCCCAATTTTTCTCATTGTTGTGCTGTTCAAGTTGTATCATTTCTATACTTTTTAGGTCTATTTTGGGCTTAATATGGTTTATCTTGGTTTGAGATTAATTTTGAAAGCTCTGACATATTCCCTACCTGAATTTTGTTTGACTGTTAAATTTATGCATTGGTTTTATGAACGTACATATAAATTCGTCTTTTCTTTTTGGCACATAAATTTAGTTTATTCTTGATTCTCAGTAGAGGCAAGGGAATTGATAAATTGGATATGCTGAGAAAATTGGTTTTCAAATTCTTCAATTCACACTGCTAAGTATATGCTGAGAAAATTTTCAACTTCAGGTGGAATTTCTTCTATTGGAAAACGGCTTATTAATTTTCTGACATCAATTTAAAAGGAACAGATATGATTTGTTATTTATAATTTCAATCTTATGTTTGATCTCAAGGGAAAGTAATAAACAAGGGGATTTTTTTTACTCGTCCTATGTCACATACCTCATCCTTTTCACATTTTTTTCTGCAGTTGGTGGAAATATTGCCTTCTTCTTTGGTCCTTTTCATTTTGAGGAAGCTGCCACCCAAGCGTGGTATCACACAATATCACCCCATTCGCTGAAAAGATAACATGGAGAAAACTTAGTCAGGAATTCCTTGGTGGTTCTCTGCTTTATTTGATGTTTCTCGCACCTCAAGGATAATTTCTAGAGGACACAGAAGTCAGTCTTTCTTCTGTTGAGTGACAAAGCTAATATCATTTTTTAAAGTTCTTCTAAGGTTTGTAGGTTTTCAAACGTGACATTTTATGGATTGTCAAACGTGTTGGATTGTGTTATATAAGTGATGTTTGCATTGTCTTTAGGAAAATGTGGTTGCCGTTTCAGTCAGATTCAGCAATTCAACACAACAAGCAACCTTTTTTGGGAGAAAAGAACATTGATATATTGTATAATAGTTTTATAAGTCTTGTAACTGCGACAAGTTGATGAAATGTATCTTTTCAGTCACGTTTCTGCTAATTCATCCAATTCTATTTCACATCCATACTTTAATTTCTTCGGTGAATTTGGCGAGGGCTAAATTAAATTTCTAGTTAGGTGATAGACTATGCTACTTTGGAATTTCAACTCTAATACATGATTATCCCTAAAATTTTAACCGCCACTAAGTTAAACGGAAATTTACTTTTTTTGAACGTCCACCCTTTAGCAGTCATGTTTGAATACAAATCAACATAGCTGTTTACAAAATCCTGAAATTTTAACAGTACCCATACATATATATATATATATATAAATGAATGATAAAGCATCATGAACACTCCACACCAGTAAGACTATTAACAAACACGGAAAACAAAAGTATTCAGATTTCGGAAGCATGCTTGCATGAGCCTTAGACGATCAGAATTCATACCTGGGGCATATTTGCTGGAATTCCAAGATACCACTTATCAAAATACTGTTTTTTAGTTGGAGTTAATAGAGGCTCTTGCTAGATGAGGATTCGGCGTTGTGGAATAGCTATTTTAGCCTATCGTTTCGTCTGCAAGTAGCATTAGTATCAATTATCTACCAGTCGGTATTTGAATGTTTGGTTTGACCTAGTTCCTTAAAATAATGGTAGGTTTGAATTTTTGCAAAATATAAAAACACGAGAATATCAAGAACGACGTTCAGTTGGTACGTTTAAAATTTTGTTTCTAGATTGTTTGCATGACTACGATGCATCCACTGGGTTGGAATATAGAGTTCTGATCACCCAAAGCAGACAATAACTCATTTGGGGCAGAGGGTTCATATATGAATTAGCTATAGGATATGCTGACCAAAAACTATTTCATTTGGTTGGTGCCACCACAAAAAGAAGTTAAAAATTTGCAAATCTCGTCTAAAAAAAGAAGATAAATAAAAACAAACTTATTTACTAACTAGAAATTTGGATCGCTTTTATATCAACAAAAGTGAGTTGAGTGTGATATGTTTCTTCTATGCAGAAAGGAAATAAAAAGGCACAGCGTTCAAGGTAAAATAAAAAACAGACATTTTCCCCTAAATTTTATGTTGGTATCGGATTTTTAACTTGATCTTATTCATGCTCGTGGGAAAGAAAGGGAATGAAGATAATCATGCATGAGTTCAGGCATGGAGACTATGTGGAAAGATATTGTTGCAGGAAGATTTTAAGTTATAATTATTTAAATATTGCAAATTGCAACAATGCAATATTTAGATCTACACAAAAAAATGTAATGCATGTAGAAAATAAAAGTACAATAAAATTTATCTGATTCCTTGATTTTTTTTTTAACAATGAATGTTTGATTTGTTTTTTTTTTTAGTTTTGAAAAACTATTTTTAAAAATAAGTTGGAGAAAAAAACTTATTTGATTTATCTAATTTTGAAAAATGACGAATAAAAATGACTCCAACTACTACAAAAGTTTAAAATAATTTTCATTACGAAAGCGAGTGGTCTAATGTAATCGTTTGGTGAAAATATCAATATTATTAATAAAAATAAAAAACACATTTTTATTAATTTTAATTTTTAATTTTAAAATACTATAAAACAAAATAGTTTTTATAAACCATTTTTTATAATTCTTAAAAAGTTTTTTTTTTTTAAAAACTAAAAAAAAACTGAAAATTATTTTTAAAAATTATAAGCTAGCAAGCCATAAATGAATATCTATCATTGATTAAAAAAATTATTTTTAAAAATTTAGAATAAACAAGGAATAAAAAAATTAAACATATAAAATAAACTTTTGATTTAAAATTAAGAAAATACACATCTTGATGCAATTAATTTTAAAAATCATATAATATAATAAAATAATATCACATTAAATTAATTTCTAGTTTTAAATTATATCTAATATAAAAATATAAAATTCCTTAAAACAAATAAATAAGTTATTATAATATGATAAAGTACTTAACATTTTAATAATTATGATATTTTTTATTTTAATAAATATACAAATTTAAGTAAATATCTTAAATAACTATGTAATAATATGTAAAACATTTATAAAATATTTAACATATATAATATGATTATTAAGTTAAGTGATTTGTCTTTATTACTTAAAATTAACCTTAAAAACAGATGAGTTGACTTGTAAATTAAGTGAAAATGTGTATTAATTTGATTTATATTTTAAAATAAATCATAATTTTTTATCTAATTTAGTCTTTTATCATGTCAACCAATTAATCACTTATTTTTAACCTAATTATAAATTTTTAAAAAGTCACAATTTCTCTATAAAAAAATTAAGATTTTGTAAAAAAAATTATTAATTATCTTATCTAAAATTAATTTTAAAAACTATTTAAATATAATTTTTTTTATAATATATCATTGCCCAAAAATAATAACATATCATAACACAACAACATAGCATGACACATCAACATGCATCCTAGGTCTAGATATTTTTTAAAAGAATTCTATTAACGACTTCCATATTCTTATCATGAAAATACTTGTTATGAAAACATACATAGACATGGAAAGGGTGCATAAAGGTGTGTGAATGTTTTGTGTTAGGATTGTAAAATAGAAAAGAAAGAAGTGAAGAAAGATGTTTAGATGCAAGCACAATAAGAAAGAAGATGAAAAAAAAAATAAAGTTTATGTCTAAGATTTTCAATTCTTTTTAAATTTTAACAAATATATAAGAGACTAGCAATCCACAATCCATCATTTGCACAACCTTTTCAATTTATTGATAGAGTTTCATAAGAGATATGTGAAACATGATTCCAACAAAGTTTCGTAACTTACTTATATATTTATGATTTTAGTTCTTGATAATTAAATACTTATTTATATATCACAGCCTTTCACCACACAGCCTTTGGTAGGCACTACACAACCTTTTTCAGGCAAAAACTACAAAACAGCTTTGATAGCTGTTGAACAAAACATTTTAGATAAAAATTACAAGACAGCTCTGATAGCTGTTGAACAAATTATAAATTTCCCTTTAGCGGGATACAAAAAGTCTATACTAGACAGTATAGATACTTTTCTAGAAGAGATTTCTAGAAAACTAAAAAGATTGATAAAACTATGTGGTGACATAGAGTATATGGGATACTTTAAGTCACGTAGAAAAAACCCTTGGGGTTATTTAGCTAACCCAATTGCGGATAGAGACTACCAACAAGTCGTAGATACCTTGGTAGTAGAACACAGAGAACTACAGGATTGGTTCTCAAAAACTTTATCAAACCTAGACCTAGAACAAGATAGGTCAAAGGAAAATAGGTATAGTATTTCTACTATCCCTAAAAACGAAAACAGTCCTATGGTAGGATGTGAAAAAGAAACAATAGATAATGTATCTTTTGATGACATTATAAACGGATTTTTAGATGAATTTTATCCAGATGAAGATGATATATTGGATAATTTATCTGAAATCTCAGAACCCTTAGAAACCCTAGGGTCTGAAAACATGAGTGTTGAATCAGATGATTTTCAATCTCATAACTACCATTTAGAATCTGATGATGATTCTATAAAATCACTACAAAATATTGGTTCTAATAGCAATCAAAACCCTACACTAGACAATATGCCTTGTACAGAGCTGAGTCTACAAAACCCTAAACTTCTTCTAAACTTAGGAGAAACATTAGACTATTTGGGTAATGGTTTAATGAACACAACAGAGAAAAATACATGTTGTCATGACATTCAATTTTTCTCAGGACCAGGATCCATTCCTTGTCTACATTGTGAAAGGTATTTTCACATTTCTCAAAGGGCTCATTGCCCCCTTTGTTACAAAAATTTCTTTATAGACTGTTTAAAAACTAAACAGGGAATACAGGACATACCTACTTTCTTAGGAAAAGAAGAAAGTACAAAAGACAAAAATTTAATCGACACTAGGACTTTAGTCTTAGAAACCCGATTAAACCTAATTGAAGAAAAGGTTCTTCACTTAGAAAAAATTGTTAAAGGAAAAGATACTAAAAAGGATTTAGTATCTACTCTTACACAAAACAATATGATGGGAACTACGGAACGTATCCCATTAGTTTGTAATGCAAAACAACTAATAATTGTTAAGGTATTAGTTAAATTAAACTTTCCTCAGAAAAACAAATATCCTGCCAAAGAGGATGTAGTTCAAGCCCTCTTAGATACAGGATGTTCTGAAACAGTTGTTTGCAGAACAAAAGTACCCACATACATGATTACCAAAAGTATGTTAGAATCGCGCAGCGGAATGTTCGCGTGGTCGGACAAAAACCAAGAGGGGGGGGGTGAATTGGTTTCTTAATAAAAATTAGGTTTTCAAAATTTTCCCCAAATTTTACCGATTAAAAACTGTGTAAATGTAAATAGAGAAGAGAAGAGAATCTTACACAGGAAATTTATACTGGTTCGGATCAAAAGACCCTACGTCCAGTTGCTAATCACTCAAATAGAGGATTAACGTTGTCACTATAATTAAGTTGTTACAAGCAAATTACAATTGAAAAGATAAAGATAAGAAAACACCTCTCTTGAAATCCACAAGAGATGAAGAACAGCTTTCCCTAGAGACGGCACAACACACAATCCGCTAAGAACTCCACTTAGTGATTCTTATCG